TATAATTTCTGACCCCCTAGCACTTTTTACTCTACAAGTCCAATTCAGAATGAGGCTGGGAAAGCTACGATTAGACGTCCCACTCTCCTGTTTCAGATATACTCAATGTTAATTCTAGATAACAAAATTAAATCAGTGACTGTTTGGAGCTGAAAAGGGCCAATACATATGAATGGGGAGTGTTTGTTTTGACTTGGAAGCATTAATCAGATGGGTCTTGAGTATTTTATAAGATAAATTGTCTCGTCTTTGTATCTCACAATGCGATATGGTAACTTGTGTTTTGCCTTGAGCTGCCTTTCTTGCTTTACTAAACAAAGATAATATATGTATTCACTGTAGAAGTAATTTGTGTGTGAATTCAACTGTAAATCCTCAGTTTCATAATTATGTCCTTCCTTGCAGCCAGTGGATCTTACTGAACATTGAAGAGCCTCTCGTAGACCAATCTCCCTCCTTTCTAAATCAATGGAAGGGTCTGACAGTGTCGAGCAGGGTGGCAGTGACCAGCCAGAGTCACAGCGCAGAAGGCAACTGGATCGCCTGGACAGAGAGGAGGCCTTCTACCACTTTGTCAACAATCTCAGTCATGAGGACTATTGTCTTATGAGAGATAACAACCTTCTGGGAAATCCAGGTGATGAGCCTTGTGAATTTATTGACAGACATTATGACGTGTGAACTATAGAAAATGTTCTACTACTTTGTGTTACTTGAGTCACATTTGACTAAATTTATTATTTTTAAGTTCCAACGATTTTGTCTAAAAATAAAACAATATTTTTTTTTATGAACTGGAAGTTAACCTTCTACACTGGTAGGTGGATACCTTTATAACCAGATCAAAACCTTGTTGAGATATAAAATCAAATTTTCCAAAGGGACCTGGCAACATAGCAGCACCATTATAAATATCAACATTTAGGATTCAACCACGAAAAAAAAGTAAAGTTGTTTCATTTCGTATTTTTAGTAATATATCTGTTTTCTTTCATTTTTGTTGAGATGGCTTTAAACCCGGGGTGGGCAATCCTGGTCCTCGAGGGCCGCAGCCATACATGTGTTACGTTTTTCCTTGCTCCAACACACCTGATTCAGTCATTGATTTACCTCTTCCAAGATCTGCAGTATGGAGGATCGAAACTGACATAATTAGAAATAAAAGCAGAAATAGATAAATGAACCTTTAAATAAATAAATATATTCTAAATGCACCAAATAAATTAAAAAGGAGAACTTTACATCGATTTAAAATATAATTGACCTTCATATTTATTTTTCCAGATCGGTTCCAATAAATTATWTATTTTAACACATAATTGAAATTTTAATGGTTTTTAATATATATTTTACATAGTTTTTCCTTTTACTTGTACATGCATTTGTGT